AAAAAGTAAGTCCAAATGAATGAAAAACCTCAACATAAATCAAGTCACAATGAACTTACTAGAAGAGAAAGTAGGAAATACCCTTAAATGAATTGGTGCAGGAGACTGCTTCCTGAACATTACACCAGTAGCACAGACACTGAAATCAATAATTAATAAATGGGACCTCCTGAAACTGAGAAGCTTCTGTATGGCAAAAGACACAGTCAACAAGACAAAACGACAGCCCACAGATTGGGAAAAGTTTATCAACCCCACATCTGACAGAGGGCTGATCTCCAAAATATACAAAGAACTCAAGAAGTTAGTCTCCAAAACACCAAATAATCCAATAAAAAAGTGCGGTACATAACTAAATAGACAATTCTCAATAGAGGAGTCTAAAATGGCTGAAAGATACATAAGAAAGTGTTCAACATCCTAAATCATCAGGGAAATGCAAATCAAAATAACTCTGAGATACCATCTTTCTCCTGTCAGAATGGCTAAAATCAAGAACACCAATGATTTTTTATGCTGGAGAGGATTTGGAGAAAGGGGAACACTCCTCCACGCTGGTGGGAGTGCTTACTCATACAGCCACTTTGGAAGTCATTATGTCCATTCCTCAGGAAGATGAGAGTCAGCCTACCACAAGATCTTGCAATTCTACTCTTAGGCATATACCTAATAGAAGCATATTCATACAACAATGACTTCTGTTCAACGATGTTCACCACAGCAGTATTTGTAATAGCTTGAACCTAGAAGCAACCTAGATGCCCCGCAAGTGAAGAATGGATAGAGAAAATGTGGTACATTTACACAATGGAGTACTACTCAGTGGGACAAAAAAGAATGGAATCTTGAAATTCACAGCAAATGCTTGGAACTAGAAGAAACCATTCAGAGAAAGGTAACCCAGTCACAAAAAGACAAACATGGTATGTACTCACTCTTATGTGAATTTTAGACATACATTAAAGATTACCAGCCTACAATCCACACTGCCAGAGAAGCTAGTAAACAAGGAGGACCCTAAGAGGGACATACATGGTCCCCTGGAGAAGGGGAAAGGGAAAAGATCTCCCGAGCAACTTGGGAGCATAAGGGGAGGGGAAAGGGAACTAGGAGAATGAGAGGGGCAGAAGAGAAGGGTTATCAGGACATTATAACACAGTGAGGTTTAGTTGGGAAAAGAAGAAAAGAGAACAAGAGAAGAGATAAGGAATCTAAAATGGATGAAAGACACATAAGAAAGTGTTCAACATCCTTTGCCAACAAGGAAATGAAAATAAAAGCAATTCTGAGATACCATCTTACTACTGTCAGAATGGCCAAAATCAAAACCAATGACAGTTTATGATGGAGAGGATGTGGATAAAGGAAACAATCCTCAACTGCTGGTGGGAACACAAACTCTTACATCCATTTTGGATATCAATATTGTGGTTCCTCAGGAAAATGGGAATCAGTCTACCACAAGATCCAGCAATTACACTCTTAGGCATGTACCCAAAAGGTGCATATTCATACAACAAGGACATCATCTGTTCAAATATGTTCATAGCAGCATTATTTGTAATAGCCAGAACCTGAAAGCAATCTAAATGCCCCTCAACTAAAGAATGGACAAAGAAAATGTGATACATTTAAACAATTGAGTACTACTCAGCAGGGGGGCAGGGGAGGGATAAAATGGAATCTTGAAAAATAGATGGATCTAGAAGAAACCATTCTGATCGAGGTAACCCAATCACAAAAAGACAAACATGGTATGTACTCACTCATATGCGGACTTTAGACATAGAGTAAGTATTACAGGCCTACAATCCACTCTACCAAAGAAGCTAATAAACAAGGAAGACCCTAAGAGAAACATACATGGTCCCCTGGAGAACGGGAGAGGGTAAATATCTGCTTAGCAAATTGGGAGCACGGGAAGGGGGGGAGGGAGCCAGGAGAATGAGAAGGGGAGAAGAAGAGTGATGCAGAGGACATGAGAAAACAGAAAGTTTGAGTCGGGGGAAGAATAGATGATAACAAGAATGGAGATATCATAATAGAGGGAGACATTTTTGGTTTACAGAGAAATCAGGCACTAGGGAAATGTCTGGAGATCTACAAAGATGACACCATCTAACAATCTAAGCAAAAGAGGAGAGGCTACCTTAAATGCCCTCCCCTGATTATGAGATTGATGACTGACTTATATGCCATCCTATAGCCTTCATCCAGCAGCTGGTGGAAGTAGAAGCACAACTAATCACCGAACTGAACTGGAACCCAGATGCAGAGAAGGAGGAGTAAAGAGCACAGAGGTCCAGACCAGGCTGGTGAAACCCACAGAAACAGCTGACCTGAACATCCAGGAACTCTTGCTCCCCAGACTGATAGCTGGAATACCAGCATGGGACTGTTCCAGTCCCCAGGACATGGGATTATGTGAGGAAACCTCAGAAATCTACAGGACCTCCTGTAGAAGTTCAGTACTTATCACTAGCATATGTGTGGATTTGGGGAGCCCATTCCATATAGAGGAATACTCCCTGAGCCAAGACACAGGGGCGTGGGCCTAGGTCCTATCCCAAAAGACACAATAGACACTGATAACACCCTATGGAAGGCCTCACCATCCAGGGGAAGCAGAAAGGATATGTGATAGAGTTTTAGTTGGGGCTGTGGCGGTAGGGGAGGACGGGTGGGAGGAGGGAACTGGGATTGTCATGTGAAACAATCCTGTTTCTAATTCAAATAAAAAATTTGGAAAAAATGAAATAAAGTTTGGAAAATAATACACTTGGCAAAGTTCACAACAATCATGTGAGTTCATTTGTTAGATTCCAATTTCATAACAAATTAGACTACTACATTCCACCTTTGCTCACTTTTCTACATCCAGCTCCTCTTTCCCAACCCTACACTAGCATGGCCTCTGCTTTTAGTTGATTTTGCATCAGAATTTCTAGGTGTCTATATCTGTGTGTTCATGTTGTTACTTAAAGGTAGAGGCTTCCAGCTCTATCCTTGCTGTTTCCATGTTCATATGTACCCAAACTAACAACTACTTCATTCTCTGGACTGTGGACTTTCCCACTGAGATGGGGAAGACAGT